TTGTTTGAAAGGTGTGCTTTTGAGTGGATTTTAAAAACTTTTCTAAGTGTGCATTCACTAGAATAGAAAATGCAGAACAGAACTGCAAGTTTGTGCAGTGCAGTTAAAAAAAAAGGGTTTTTTATAATACTTACAGGGGGGTTATTTATATGTCATTTGACTTTTAAAGAAGTTAGCTTAAGTGTGGGAAAGTCCCAGATTCAAAGCTACAGCAGCTTTATATTTATCCCCAGGTTAGATTTTGTTTCAAATCTTCATATGGTTTGTATGTGCACTTATAATTACATCAGTACTGCCTCTAAAAGCCATTTCTCCTTTTAAATATGCAAAATTTATCAGTGATCAGTAAACATCTGTTACCAGGTATGTTGTAGAATATTGTCTCTTCATCAGGCTAGGAGGATTGCGCTTAATCTGTTCCAACAGCTCAAAAGATTAAAGGTATAAGTACTTTGGGGAAAACTTAGTTTTCTTGTTTACAAATTTTTTCATCATGCAAAATAGTTCCTCAATAGATAAAATTTTCAAATTTCTACATTGATATATTATTATGTTGACGAATTTCACCTGACAATTCCTCTAATCTTTCAGTGACAGTGGAGTGATGCTTTTACTCTCTGTACAAGGAATTAGATGAGGTGAGAAAGAGTGCTATTGATTCCTGTATTAGCAGTACCTGATGGAGTGTGTTTTCCTCATCACAGGATGCCCCTATCATCATGACAGCACCACCAAAATTGTTAACATTGTGTTAGAACGGTGTGTCTGGGATTAATACACAGACAGGTCTAAAACATATATTTTCAAAAGCTCTCTGTGAAGCAGAAGACCTCAAGAAGAATGGATAAATCAATTCACACCGGTTGGTAAGCCCAGGAGTTAAGTGCTATTTAAATAAATTACTGAAATAGGTTTATAGTTGTTTAACTGTGAACCTGTTCCCTACAATCACAGCATTTCAAGTTTTGAAGTGAACCATATGTTGATAAATGCTCAGATACTTAGAGTCTTTGCAGCATAATAAACACGCCAGCTGTATCTACTTGCATTTCGCTCCACTGAGGAACTTAGGTGTCCCAATTCAACTAAGTATTTAATCACAGTCTTCTGTCTTCTTTAAGCATTTTGTTGAATTTGAGTACTGAATTCAAAAGTGAAGTTAGCACTGCCATGTGCACTCCCCTGAGACCCTAATGAAGTTAAAGGACTGCTGTTGGGCTGCAGGTTTCACAGAATTGGACTGTAACACCCCTGCCTCAATGTCTTGGGAAAACCTGCTGTTACAAACTGTTGTAGTTTAACCCCAACCAATAACTCAGCATCACACAGGCACTCACTCACTCACTCCCCAACACTAGGATGGGAGAGAAAACTGGAAAAGTGAGAAAATGCACGGGTTAAGAAAAAGACAGTTTAATAAATAAAAAAAAAGCAACACACAAGCAAAGCAAAACAATGAATTCATTGAATTCATTCACCACTTTTCATGGGCAGGCAGGTTTTCAGCCACCCCTGGGAAAGCAGGGCTCCATCACATGTTAACAATGACTTGGGAAGACAAATATTATCACTCCAAATACCTCCCCTTTTCTTCTTCCCCCAGCTTAATGCTGAACCTGATGCCATATGTTATGGTATATTCCTTTGACCAGTTGGGGTCAACTGTCCCTTCAGCGTCCCCTTCCAACTCCTTGTACAACCCCAGCTTGCTTTCTGGTCTGTGGGGTGAGAGGCAGAAAAGGCCTTGACTCTGTGCATGCAGTGCTCAGTGGGAATGAAAACATCCCTGTGATATCAACCCTGTTTCCATCACAAATTTAAAACACAGCCCCATACCAGTTACTGTGAAGAAAATCAACTTTATCCCAGTCATAACCAGCACACAAACCCTTATAGGTATGGGATGTTCCACTGCCAGATGCCAGACTTATCTCTTTTGCCCAGCACATTTGATCCCTGTATAGAATCCAGTATCAATCCATTTACATGAAAGAGATTACTCCTGAGAATTCCTGTAAATATGTTTTGAGTTCAATTTCTCTGATCTACTAAATGTGTGCACTTGTTTTTTCATTCTTTCACACACTGTGAGGTTACTGCCTTCAACTTCATATGTAATTCCCTTACAGTTTAAGACTGTATGTGCATTGGTCCACAAATACAACTCATTTATAGTTGTTTTCCTTATTGTCAAATTTGAAATCCAATTTCTTTCAGTTACTCCAACAGCATCCCCTACTTTCCTTGGGTTTAAATACATATGTGTATTCTGATGGAATATAGCTACCTTCATTAATCTCTCTAATGACATGTGAAGGAGATTTCCTAGGTGTGCAATGATGAACAGAGGCCAATTCACTCCGTCTTCATCCATACCGTCTTTCTAATGCATATCAGACAGCTAACTTGATCTCTGTGCTGAGAGGTATTAGCTGAATCATATTGTAACATTTTGCTGGCTATAGGCCTTTACAGAACTTACCCATTTTACTTTCCAAGGGAACTAGCTGATTCACCTGTATGCAAAAATCCAGAAAATAATTTCCAGTGTGGGGGTCGAACAGACTATGAGTGGATAAAAAAGGTAGACTGCATACTTTTCAGGGAAGATGTACTTTTGAGCACTTCAGAATCCCAATTCCAACATTTTTATGATATTTTTTACCTAAGTCACTTAGGATGTAAGCTTAGTGTGTTTAGGTTGCATGACTGACTCTGTCTACCCCTTTTGGAGTGTTGAAGCAGCCAGATATTCACAGAGCACATCCATTAGGAAAGGCTTTACATCAAAGCCAGTTGGAGTATAACAGAGTATGTGTATTCTAATAAGTAAGTAATGATAAGGAAATAATTCGACATTTGAAAAACCCAAATAAAATCTCAATTCCTTTTCATAGGTAATTATATAAGCAAACCAGAGTAAATTTAGCATAAAACATATTGAGAGCCCCTTCTCTCAGATTGTCCAATAACTCAGGATTTGATGATACTAAAATTTTAGGGTTTGATCCTCATAAGATAATTTATAGATGTGTTTTTTAAGTGTTCTCAACTCAAATTTTCGTGTCATTTGTCTAGTCAGTAAAGTGAGATATACTAGAGGAGGAAAGAGTATCGGTATCTGTCTTATTTTTCAAGAGAAAGTAATTTTGTGTCTTAGTTACCTAATTTAAATATAAGGTTTATATCAGAGAAGAAGGATGAACAGAGATAAGCAGTTCTCTCTGAGTTAAGACATCATCTGTCTTCAAATACCAGAAGTTAAGACCTGGACCCAGAGAATTCTGGAGTGTATAACTTAACGTCTACCTGTTCATCATCGAAACTTTTACATCTTTCAAATATAGATTACAAATTTTTTACCTGAAAGTTGGATATTTCAACCTTTTTCTTTTGGCATTTAGCTAAGCCAACATGTTCACTAAGGCTGTTATAATGGGAATAACTAAATTCAATTCTTCTTTTTGAGGCCACTGTCTTAATAATTTTGTAGATTTTCTCCTACTCTGTATGCTTCTGTCTCTGTAATACAGCTATCAAATGAATCTACGGCAGCTACAATTTCAAAGGTTTATTTCTGTTCTGGTGTCTTTGCCGTAAGTGTTATTCAAGGAAAACAGTAGGTTTTTGATCTTATGTTCGTGCATGCACAAAGCACATGAACAGTAACAAAAACTCTGTGGTCTGGATTATGAAAGTGAAGATTATTTCTCTGGTTTGTAAAAAAGCAAATACATTTGCACATTTTTGACAGGGGTCTTACGTATGCTAACTAAATTTCATTTTGAAAACATCAACTTAAGGTAACAGTCACAGCCAAAAATTGCATCCTTACTCAATTTTAATTGTTTTAAGTTCAGAAATAGATTTGGCTCTTTCATCCACCTTTACTAAAATTCCAACTCTATAGATCTATGCAGATAAAAAAGAGAAAGAATATTTCCTTTTTGTCTGCAAGTAAATATAACAATTTATTACACATACACCTATGTTCATGTGACATAGTCTTATCTGACTTAGTTTCAACCTAATTTGCTTTCTCCTTCATTCTGAAAATGTCATAACCTTCTCTTATTAGCACACCATAAGCCCTTTTCTCTGGTGCATGTTCTTTTCTTGAGGTCATGACAGGTCATACATTTCCCTCAAAAGATATGGCTATCAAAGCACAAATCATCTAACAGATACATGTTGTAACTATGGAATCATTCAAGTGTGTCGCTATCATAATCCATTGATGAAGGTCACCAGAACCATAACTTGCCTTATATCAAGATCAGAGTCCCTGAGTACTCTGTTAGCAGTCATGTACTTTGGCTTTCATGGTCCATGGTACTACACCTAATAGCAATAATTAACTATACTGTCAGAAATTCCCTTTGTATGCTTTTACTTTGAATGTTCAGGTTGAGTATTACCAATATATTTTTGTGTTGGCATTTAACAATAAAAGTAGTTTGTCTGAAATAAGCAGTATAAGATTTTTCAACTTCTCACTAAAGGTCATTTTGACCAATTACGTTACAAAAGAAAGGTGAAAAAGAATGAAGTAACACTTATTGTAAATCCTAATTGTGGTTCATCATAAACTAGATTGCATCTGTGAATGTCATTTTGCTTCCTTACTTATAAGAATGAGTTTATATGTTGAATCATGCTATTTCTCTATAACATATCCAGGCGCAAATGGGAAAGAAGGTAAAAAGTTATAGAAATATAAAACCATAGAAAGGCTTGGGTTGAAAGTGACATTGAAGAGAATATGGTAGGCATGCTACCCACTAGATCAGGTTGCCCCATCCAACCTGGCCTTGAACACTTCCAGGAATGGGGCATCCACATCTTTTCTGGGCAATCTATTCCAGTGCCTCACTACCCTCTGAATGAAGAATTTCTTTCGATTATCTAACCTAAATCTCTCCTCTTCTAGTTTAAAACTGTTCCTGCTTAACCTGACTATCAGTCCATGTAAAAAAAGTCACTCTCCCTCTTTATTATTAGCCCCTTTTAGGTACGGGAAGGCCACAAGAGGGTCTTTCCACAACCTTCTCTTCTCCAGGATGAACAACCCGAAATTTGTCAGCCTTTCCTCATACGAGAGTTGCTCCAGCCCTCTGATCCTCTTGTGACCCTCCTCTGGACCCACTCCAACAGGCCCACATCCTCCTTATGCTGAGGATTCCAGACTTGGATGCAGTATTCCAGGTGTGGTCTTAGGAGGGCAGTGTAGAGATTTAAGTATATATTGAGGAATTATGTATCAGTAAGATGATTTTTTCCTTCTTTCTTTATTTTAATAATTACAGATTTCAAGTTGCAGTCTTCCTGAACTCTATCTCACTAAAAACGATTTCAACATGAATTTCTGCAAAAACTGAAATACTAGTAGAAAATAACCCTCCAAAAAAATGTTGACTTTTTTGAAAATAAGTTCTTTACAATGTTCTTGCAATCTATCTAGTTTGATCAGATTTTGTGCGAAAAAATCTAGAAGAAAAAAACAAATGAAATGACAAATTTTATGCACAATTGATTGGGTGTTTTAGAGTAGAAATAACCTTTAGGCAGAAAAAGAAATATTCTAAATCAGAGGTAAAAATAATATCTTGTAAACTTTTCATCCTTTAAAGAATTGATGACAGTTTTCCAAATAGTTTAAAAGATATTCTTGTTACCTTTGCATATTTCACTGAATGTACATTCTGTCTAATACGGTCTGTCTGCTTTACTGTTTGGAAGTGTTTTTGTTCTGCTTGGGCAATTATATTCCTCTTCAGGAGATGAAAGATAAAACACTGTTACAGGAGAAGTTTACCTGTTGGTGCATTGGTGTTGAACAGCTCCCACAGTCCACACCAAAGGTGTTTGCATTTCAAAGCTGAGTGGAAAGAACAAGATAATGAATGTAGTAATTTTAATTTCTGCACTTGTGTGTCTGTGTGCAGTCAGTGAAAACTTGTGAGAGTTTGTTGCAGTTCCTAGGTAATTTTCTTGGGTTTTTGTCAGAGGAGAACATGAAAACTGAAGAAAGTCCACAGTGCAAAATTATATGAAAAGTGGAGGAGGGGGAGATGATTTTTAGGTATATCACTGATGTGTAGCCCCCTAGTAGTAAATATGAACAGGTACTCATCTGGAAATTAAAACTTTTTCTGGAGTTTTTTTTATTACACAAACTTGTGTTTCTTGTAAGTAGTTTAATAGCAAAGAACAGGGAAAAGCGACTGTCTTCAGTATGTCTTAGGAAAACAACTTGCACAGATAAAGTGTTCTAGGTAATAAATATGTCAGTCACATTTAGACTGCAAATGGATCTTGCTCATATTTTGCTATTCTTCCCGTTTTCTTACTGAGGTCTGAGTTCTAAATGACTGTGAACTGTATATTGTGTTTGATTTGGGTATATGTGCATACACTCCACAATGAGCATAGTCTCTTTCTAAGATTATTTCTGTGGCATACAGGGTCTGGGTTTCAATATGTAGTTTTTTACAGCATGATACTCTTATATGGCAGCTTGGCGAAGTTAGTGTCATTTTACTGTATTGTATTCCAACAGAAGAATTCGGAAATTTTGACTCCAATCGGAGGAAATTACAACTTTTAGGATGGCTTTTTGACTGATTTTAACTGGTAATTCATGTCTTTAAGCTCTTCCTAGACTGTGAGAATTGTGAATTTGCCTGATGAGAAATTAAAATCTAGCATCAGCTATAACCACTTGAAGCAGAGGTTACAAGAAAAACAAATCAAACCCACATACTCACATTCCCCCACAACATTCTCTAAACAACCTGTGAAAAAAGGTAAAGTTGAATCATAGGATGTTGCGATTTCTGTGAATGCCAGTCACCAATTTTCATGGGGTTTTTTTCCCAGTTTTCTCTGCCATACTCTTCAAAACATTACACTATAATACCATCTTCAGCGACATAAGGGAATTTAAGGATTGCCTGTTTCTTATATCCTTGTCCCTAAAATGAAAAATGAGAAATAAAATCTGTTTCTGACAAAATGTAGGCTTGATGCCTTGTGTCATTTTTAGGTATTATAATGTATTAATATTAACGCATTATTGCAATATAAAACACTAAATTAAATAAATCATTTTCTTATATGGGAAGAGAAGAACTGAAAAATTTTTTGAATAAAAATGAAGAAAAAGAAAATTCTGGCTTAACTATATTAACATAATTTTGAAGAAAAACTTTATGGAGATCACCCTAATTTTCCAGATGAAGTGCTGTTTCCCTTTTTCATGCTGTACAAATAAGTCAATATTCACTTTTCATTTTAAAAGAATTTACTTCAGTAAAGTGATATCTACACAGCAGACTCTAAGAGCACATCCCAGTTGCCGGGTCTCTGTGCCTGCCGAGCAAGTCCTGAATGCACAGGTGGATGGTGCATATGCATGTGCATCACCCCTCTGTGCTGTGGTTTCAACAAAAAGAAATAATTTGCACAGGGTTATGCTAGAAGCGTGATGTACAGCAGCCAAGTCTATATCAGCAATTAAAACAGAATTAGAAACCACACCGTGTTGTTTAGGATTGTTGTATCCATGCTACTTAAATCTACTTCCTTTGTTAGCAGATGTATCTTGGAGAGACATTTTAAAAAAACAATGAGCAATCCAACGATTCAGTGAGGTGGATGAGCAAGGATCTATGCCACAGGTTCACTCCCTAGCCTGTTTTTATTTAGCAATACCTGTGTAAATCCTCTGCTCTGGATGGTCAGTGATCCCGAGACAGGTCGCAGCAGGCTTCAGCAAATACAGCCAAAGCTGAAGATGTGGCCATACAGAGGAAGGAATAACACTCAGGTTCAAAGTTCTGAGCGTAAACAACAGAAATTTAATTGGTTTCGACCTCAGCATGTGCAAAGAGAACACACAGTTTCTGTATTTTTTATTGCATTCACATCTGGAAGTCCTGGCTTTGGGTTAGCCTGAATGAGGAGCCACTGGCCTGTAGCCTGAGTACTGTGGGTAGGGGCAGAGTGATGGGTGTGAGGGAAGAAAAAGATATCTGAGATGAGAGCTTGGGCTCTTAAGGCATTCTTATTCTCACTTATCTTTAGCCCCACTTGGATCTGAACTAAGAATAGAACCCTAAATAATCATCTCTGAAGAAATCAGGCTGAAGTTGAACCACTTCTGCATCTGCTTAAAATACACTGAAGTTTCAAAAGCTTCACAAAATTCAACTGAAAATGTTCATCTTCTCTGGGTAGCTACATGACTTATTGAGTTAATTTTTTTTTATAGTTTTGATGAGTCTCAATATTGTGTTTGCAAGCCTGATCTATGAAATCTTTATGTCTGACCCGGTTCTATGTAACTGTGATAGGCAGATGTTTTGGGAAATTGCAGCTTTGCTCAGCTTACAGGCATGTCCCAGTCAGATTTTGTGCAACACTCCAGAGTTTTGCCTAGCTCTTTTCCCACCTGTTTCTGTGCTTGTGACTGCTTAAAAAATTAAAATGGTAAGGCAAGCTCTCTGAAAAAGGGAGTCAAGGCATCCACTCTTGGGCAAGTAGTGATGTATGATGCAAAGATGGCACCACCATACTCCCTGCCATTGCTCCTTTGCCCTGAGCAAAATTAGAGCATCTTGTGAATGGAGGGAAAAGCTGCTTCAAATTATGTGTTAAATTATGCTCTAAATTACACTCATTTGTTAGATGTTGGTGGAGGCCTGTTCTGCCTCTTCTTCCAAGATGCTATCTTAGCGCAGGTCAGTCAGACCTAAAGTCTGTTTCTGTAAACTGAGTTCACCTCAGTGTAACTCCCTGAGTACTGAGTCAGCTAAATAGTTATTTTTCCTTACAATGCAAATGATCTCCTGTGTGTATGTGTGAGGGGTGTTTTGTGGTTTGGGTTTTTTTTAGATTTCTTTTGGGGTTTTGGCACCTTTTCTTTGTTTGTTTGTTTTAAAATAAATATAGCTAATAACATTTACTTATTTTGTGGTTCGAGATCATAGGTACTTTCCTTGCTTGATCCCTTCAATTTTATTTTGAGCAACAGAGCAGTATTATGAGATCTGAACTCTGTATAAGTCAACGTAGTTAATTTTATGAGGCATTTAAAAGATGCAGATACACTGCATGTAATCCCTAAACATATGTGTCAGCTATGGTTTTCAGTACTTCTGTATAAAACATTTCTGGGCTTAAATTTAGTCATTACTTCCCACAATAAAGCATTTTGAATTTACAAATGAGGTAAAGCCAGGATTTTTAGATCATAGGTCATGCAATGATAATTATTTTCTTAAGAGTCTCTCCCTTAGCAATCAGTGGGATTTCTCCAGGCTAGGATATCTGTTATCAGCGTGATTCATCACTGCAGTGGGTCCTTGCAGCTATTCAGCACTTAGCTGTGGACTGGCTAATGAAGTCAATCTTATCTTTGTGCTGTGAAACAAGAACTATTTGTTTGTGAGCAGTTACAAGTAAAAGGCACAGAAACAACTTACAAGTCAGTATCATAATGAAGAAGAGTTTTTTCTTACCCTAAAGTTCTGAAAGACAATGCACTATTCTTAAATATCTACAAAGACCACTAGACATTGTTTGAACGATTTTTTTTTCTGAGCTTTCAAATTAAAATGTTTTCTCCAAGAGACAAATATAATCTCCTTTGTAATTTAAAGTGCTGGATGATATGGTTAGGCCCAATAACAGCTGTGATTTCTTTAGGGAGAGTTTAATCAGTTTGTTGTGACATGGTACCAGGAACTCAATTATGATTGATCACTATTGCTCAAAAACTGGCCAGAAATGAGTCAGCGCAAATCATTTAAACAGTGCCTCAAAGCTTCAGAACCTCAGAAAATGAGAGGCCTCTGGAAGCTGGCAGAAATATCAGCATGCTTCAGGAATGGAAGGGTTTCCAGTGGCTCCATAAATACCATCTTGGTGGTATCTTATTCCCAGCATGGCCAGGGGAATTCTGTTATCCCATTACTTAGTGCAGTGGTCGTCAAGATTAAATAAAGGATAAAATAGATCATTTGCTGAAGCCACCTTACCGGTAGGAGTTCAGTGTCAGTGAATTTTCATAAAAATATTCTTTTTATGAAAAATAAATTTTCTGTGGTTCTACTGGTCTATATCAGTTGGTTTTGTTTCCTCTTCATAGATTCAGGTAATCTAAGAGACCTTTATGCTCATTGATGGGCAACTAACATGTATCCTGACCATAAAATTTCATCAATGATGTTTATATTAAACCAATATGTCATGGCTGATCTAGAGAACACGCTTTAAAACAACATTGAATCCAAGGCATCAAGTTATCAAGCAAAACAATGGGCCACCAAATTCCAAGGTAAATTATTTTAGTGGCTATTTGCCTTTGCAACCAGATGTGTCTATCTCGCATTGGCCTTTTTAGCCACCAACGCGCTTGTAGCAAATGTGGGTAGAGCCCTTCCCAAATCTTCGTTCGCGAAGCCTAGCCTTTGTGTTGGTTACATAGTGACTTCCACTTTCAGTCACTATAACTAGTTGTACTTCTATATCATGCCTTTACTGACAGAAATCTTCTTTGATGTAACTAACAAGTGACAGGACAAGAGGAAGCAGCCTCAAGTTATGCCAGGGGAGATTTACATTAGATATTAGGAAAAATTTCTTCATTGAAAGGGTTATCAAGCACTGGAACAAGCTGCTCAGGGAAGTGGTTGAGTCACCATCCCTGGAGCTAGTTAAAAGATGTGCATGTGGCACTTGGATATAAGATTTAGTAAAAGATTTGGCATTGCTATGTTAACAGTTGAATTTGATGATCTTAAAGGGTCTTTTACAACCTAAATGATTCTATGATTCCATCTATAACAAGAAAGATCCCTGAAAGATTTTTCCCTGGTTGCTATCACATATTAGTCTCTGTGTCATCATATCTTAACCAGTATTGTTGCCACTATTGTAAAATGGTTTGCTGTGGGCTCCTTCTTTTGAGATGATCAAAAATCATTATACTGTAAAATACCCTAATACAGACAGAATTTTAACATCAATGTTTGCCCTATGCCTCTCAGAATATACTTGTGTCCCAATAGGTTGTCAGCACTCACTTCAGTAAAGTCCTCATTCTGGTGGCAGTGATCAAATCTGGCTTTTTGTCCTTTTTAGGTAATTTACCTGAATCAAACTCCTTTATTAACTCATTAAAAAATATTTTCTTGACCCTGTATATTTTTTCTAAGCCCTAATTTTCACATTCAACTTTTTTTAATTTATTTATTTTTATAATGTGGACACTGGAATCATATAATATTCTAGTAATAGCTTTACTAGTGCTGCAGATCAGCTTTCTACTTCTACTCAGTATTTCTTTGCTTATGCATCCAAGGATCACAGCTGCTTATCCAGATGTCATATTAAAGTAAGAGCTCATTACCATGAGCTACTTAGTTTCCCAATTACCTGTTTCCCAAGTAATTTTTTTCTATAATATTATCCTTTATGGTGTATATTTTTGTCTTGAAATAGTAAAATGGGAAAACATGGAGAGAGAAGGGGTGAGAAAAAATCTCTGAAAAGAATAAATACTGAAAAATTTTAAGGACCAGGTTAAAAAAAAAATAAAAAGAGGGGAGAGAATCTAAGAATTACTTTCATATGTAAGAGATAAATTTTATGGTCACCATGGCACTGATATACTTAAATAAAAGAATATGAGGCCTGGAGATTAGAGAAATAGGAATAGAATAGGAAAGTTTGTCAGTAGGAACTTGTTTGATGTGGTGCTGAAGGAGACTATAACTATTTAGAAAGGAAAATCAAACTGCTATAGGGAGAAGGGTACAAAGTCTGGTGAGAAATAACTTAAGAAACCGTGAGAGAAGACTAAAGACTAACAGGAGAGATCTGAAAACTATAAAACAAAAAAAAATTAAATCTAGGTGAAAGCCTGGAAGAAAAGCTGAAGAACCTTCAAATTTTGTTATCTGGCACTAGGCAACAAAGTAGTTATATTACTCAAAAATAGGAACTCCAGGTAAAGAAGCCATACAATACAGAATTCTAACAGTTTGGTTAAAAAAAGGCACCCCACCTAGTAGAGGGAGACAATCTTCAGGACATGTTCATTGCTGAAAAAGGAAATACCACAGTGAAGTATTCAATACATCTTCACCAATCTTTTCTATAATTGACTATAGAAATTGCAAAATGCCAGTCATTTGGTTCCCAGAAGACACCATGCCTCATATGCTTTTGAGCTCATTCAACTCTGTTATGCAATATCTAGTCTCTGTAAGAAAGTAACTCTTTATTGCCCAAAGGTTAACTTTCTGAAGTCACCTGTGAGTTAAGATTATTTTAATATATGAGCCAGAGCACATTATTTATATCTCCTATGAGCACTGGCAAAAAAAAAGGTCTTATGTATGCATGTTGTGACTTAGAATACATCCAAAATTAGCTGGACTGAGGGCATGAGAGTACCAGCGTAAGTTATAATTTTCATAGTGAGATTGAGCTTTTGTGCACCAAGCATTACAGCTTTTTTCCACAGCATGGTTAAATGCATCTTTGCACTCAGAATGAAGTGATTTCTAAGGAGCTTAGCTTTTAAGTGCTGTCTTTTAAGACTTGAGAAGATACTTGGAATTTTGAAGTGACTTAAACAAACATTTCTGAAAGAAGTCATTTTAATGACAATGGCTGTCTTTCTCCCACTGTGTAATCATTCAGCCACTTTTATCCTTGTCACAAGGGATGCAGTATATGTAACATGCACACCTAACTATCAGTATCCACTGGAGATCTATGTTGTCCAAGAGAAGATCTTCAAAGCTTCACATTCAAAATAGTACCAGAGACCCTCATCTGGACAAATGGATTGAAGCTCCTTTAAATAGCCAATGAGCCTGGAGAGCTGAAGATCTGACCAAATCTCTGTTGAGATTTGAGACAGCTGAGTAGCTCAGCAGTCTATATTAACAGCAATTACTAGACTTCCACTGTCTGCAGTAGACATTTAAATG